ATCATTTAACTTACTCCCAAGAACAGCCACGTGCCCCAGTAATAGCATGCCCCAAAGAACCAAACTTTGTACAAAAATCGGTTCAGGAAGACAGCAGCTCTTGTCATCAGGCATTTATCTATACACAAATAGGAGTAAACATTTTAGTTTTTGGAAAATCTAGTTATAGTTGGCTAGTTATCGGCCCATAACCCCCACTGATTATAGGCAATTTGCATCCGATAAAAGGTATTCCTTTACAAAGATCTTGGCTTAGAGCTTGTAACCCCTCTTTGAATTGTGAGTGATTTTTCATACTTGGATACTATGCAACATAGAAAGTTGATAATTGATCCTTGTGCAAGAGACTTTAAATCTGCAAATAAAAATCTGACCAAACCTTCAGGAGCATCAGTGGAGCAGACTTGGGTTTTTGGAGTTACAGGTGTGGTGTTTGTTGGATGAGTGACATTACCATGTGTACCATTGATATGAGCTGTATGATTACTAACAACAGCTGTGTGATGGGTCTTCACCTGCGGTAAAGAAAAATCAATCTTAAAAGATCAAAATGGTCATGTTATTTCAACCAAATCTTTGAAGGATTGTACCTTCACACTTTTGTGTTTGTTTCTACATATTGAACAAGTTTACATCGTTCTTTTTTAACAATAAAGGTCACCAATGATAGTAACAGTAGCATCTAAGGAGCACCCTTAATCTTAGCTTTTCATGCCCGTGACACAGTAAAAATGATTAAGTGATTCCAATTTTTGTTAATGAACTGCAATCTGCAAGTTAAGGATCAACTTTCCACAAAGTTTAAAAAGATGTGTCCATAAACTAGGAGCCACCTTAATTTGTTTGTTTGTTTGTTTGTTTTTTTTTTGCTTTTGTTTTTTTCTTCAGTTTAAAACAACTTCAAACAGAAGGTAGTCCTGTTGCTCTAATAACCATTTTGAGGCCTGCTTGCTGAAATAAATGGTACAAGGGCCTATTTCAAGGTCATCCACATCTCCTTGTGTCCATGTTGGCAATGCAAAAGAGTTCAATGACAGACTAACAACAGAGTGTAATTGAAGAGACCACTCACCGTGTAATGTTGACTCCCATACATGACATACTGAGGAGCCAATGTAAACAACATAATGTTGAGGAACAGCATGGTCAGTATCAACATCAGAATCAAAAACAGCAGAGCTTGAGGCATAGTTTTGCGAGGGCGGATTTTGTAGAGCTATTTACTGTGAGTAAAGGAATCTCAATGATCATAAACAAAACCATCCAGACATTCCTTTTGGATGTCATTGTTTGAATGTCTTAACTGGTCCCTTCCATGATTCCATTATTTTTAAAAGATATTACATAATTCAATGTTTAGTTTCCATCCCTGAAAGACCAAAGGATGGGTTGAGTTCCTTCTTTCCCCACCAACCCCTCCCCCTCCATTATTGCTAGAAATATACATGATAAAGATTCGTATGATGCACGATCCTCATAGTAGATAGTGCTATTTATGCAATAGCAAAAATCAGACCTGAAAAAAATCAGGCCTGAACAGGATTCCAACCACTGACCTCTGCAATACTAGTGCAGTGCTCTACCAATTGAGCTAACAAGCCAACTGGGAACAGGCCGTTAAGTTGATTTGTAATAAACCCATGTTTAAATCAGATACAATGTAATCTAGTAT